CATAGGATTTATTTTAGCTGATACTGATAAAGTAAATTATTCCCAGATCCGCCCCAATACCAATCCTTAGGATCAGTTGAGGACATCTCTAATGTACAGGATTTCCCTCTGGACATTGTTCAGCTGTGATATAAGCCTCCCAACACGTGTTGTCTCATGATCAATTTACTGAGAAGATGACGGCCTAAATAAAAGCTGCATTCATTAAACATGACACTCTCTGTCTAAAATAGATTCTCTGCTCTTTTCCCCTGAATTTTTCATGTCAGTGATGGTGTTCTTTATTCCAGGTGAAGTGGTCCACCTCCACTGCAATACACTGCAGTAAACCCTGATGTTTATCCTATTATTATATCAACTTATCACAAATGTGTTTTGGTGTGGGTGTACATGTCTGGTTATTTAGGTTAGGTTAGGTTTTATTTAGGTATTTAGAATCAGTGTCTCCATCACATTGTCTGGCTGTACAGAATAAAATCAATAAACACTCAGGCAGTAAAACATAATAAAATACTAAAAACAAAACAACCACATGACACACAGCAAACATCAATAAACATTGTCACAGGCGTAAAAAAAAAACCATCAAGTGGATCCAAACACTACACAATAAAAGTGCGTTTTAAGCCTGGAATCAATGGATGGGGCAGATCTGGTAGAGAGGGGGATGCTAGAGAAAACAGTGAACAATGCCTGGACCACCCGGTGATGTCATACAGTTCATACCGTGGTAGGTGTCTCTTTAATGTCATGTTCAGGTTTTACTTTGATTCACTAAAAACAGACATTCTTCATCTGGTTATTTTATCTATAAATGATCTCTCACTTGGATTTCCACTATACTCTCTACCATATACACACTACATCATGACATATGTATATATATAGTATTATCGTTATATAAAATTACATGTACTTATTCATATTGCCCAACCCTAGGTGCAGGTGAAAATGGAGCATAAGCTACTAAAAGCTGGCACTAGACTGTACTGATATGAATCCAAAACCACGTTAATAAACACACGTAAACAAACAGTCATTAGCACTAATAGTAGCCCTCCACAGTGTTTCTATGAAATTTGTGTTGAAGAACCTATTCCTACGCCTTGTTAAATGTGGAGAAGGATTCAGTAGAGTGATTAAAGGCTGGTCTCTAAGCTGACCGAGCATGCTCTCTATTCAGGAACTGCTGGCTGGCGTAAAGCCAGGACCCCCTGCGGAGGCCATTTAATGTATTTTACATCACAGTCGGTGAATGAGTCCAGCGCTGGCTGACATTTAACATTATCACTACTGGATTTGAACTAAACTGACCCAGACTCTGAATGGTCAGCTTTTACACTGCTGTTAAAATCTGTAACCATGCGTTACACTCTTCAGCCGTGTTTACACTAGACCTTTATACCATTACTTGTCTTGCACAGAATATGAGTAGTCAGTTACAGTCACAGTCTGTGCCTTCACAATTGCAAGGCAGCTGCAGGTGTCATACATTTTGTATGATGACAATAAAGCTGCTGTTCACCGTGTAAAAGCTGTGGGAGGATACAGATCATGACGTTGATAACAAGCAGAGGAGGTGGTCACAGCCAGCTGGCTCCTGGTCAAACCCTAACCCAAGTGTTTTTTCTTACATCATGACCAGACAGAGAAACCCCCCTTTTAATCAGTGCTAAGACGCCACACTAAAGAAGGATTTATTTAGGTGAGGTATGTTTTATGAACTGTGGACGCTACTACAGTCACATCGTGTCAAAACTTGTTTTAAATACTGTTCATCGCACCAAAAATTATGCTTTATATCTAAACACTTCATATCTAAATATTTACTCAAATGACTGCAGATATAAAAATTTTGGGTCACTTCAGGGTGAGATGAAATTATATCAACGTTGTTGTTCCTATCTGATCTCATACACGTGTTTAATATTCCTCTCTGTTGAAATGCCCGTCGTATCAACAGTAAGACAGAAAGTCAAAGGAACCTACAGCTAAAAGCAATGCATTTTGTTTGAACTGCATCATGCCCTGCACACTGAATCCGAGGCGGGAAGCAGCAGGAATTAACAAACACACAAAGGAAAACAAAGTAAGAGACTCTTGGATTTATGAGGCGAGGGAGCGGGAAAAGAACCGAGGAGTTTAAAAGAGGTCAGACGGTACTCTCTTCTGTTGGCTAGTGTGTCAGTGAGAAGAGAGCAAAGGCAAACAGAGGAGAGATGAAGAGACGGGAAAGATGAAGGGATGGTATGGTGGCTGTGGAGGAGGAGGAGGATCTCTTCGTTTCTCTTCTCTCCCTCTCTGTGTAAACAGAGCAGACCAGCAGAGGGGAGCTGAATCTCCTCCATAGAAGAATGTCTGGTATGGCTACTAAAGCAGGGGGAGGGGGGAAGTGTGTGTGCGTGCGTGTGTGTGTTCGGTTAGAGGTTAGAGGAGGCAGACCGGGAGTAGAGTAGTGTTGTTGTAGATGGTCATGGTCTGTATTTACCAGGTCTGTGAACGAAAATAAAACAACCACGCCGACATAATGGGCCTGGATACAGAATGAGGAGGGGGATATTATAAGCTACATCCAAACCACTACATTTAAGTTTTAAAACGCATCACTCTTGCTCCGCTTACACCTGGCGTCCGCACTACTCCGGAGTTTTTGAATGCCTAAAACTGAGACTTTCCTGTTCCCGTTTTAGTTAGAAAACTGTGGGGTTGTGTTTTAGTCTGGATGGGTAGAACCGGAGACGATGACGTAGACACCCACATTCGCTCCCTGATTGTTATCATACCAGCCTCAACTAGCAGTGGTGAAAGCAACATGATATTACAAGTGTTACTCACCTTGTTGTCTTTGCTAGCAGCTGGTGGGCGCTTAAATTCGGCATTTTAACGCTACAAATGACTTTGCTGTTCCTCGTTCATAGTAATTTCTGCAACTAATCAACTGCAGAAAATATAATCTGCTTCCTGTTTACACTGCATGCCCAGTGGAAGTGAGCGGTGATGTACATGTGTGTTTTCAGGTGTGTTAGTCTCGATGGAGATCAATTCTGATACGGAGCTTAAGCACTCGTCTGTACAGAGACCGTAGTATTGTGGACGTAGCCATAGTTTACCTACTACACAGCACGTTTGATCATATGGGACAAGTTAGTAGTTGGCTGTTGTTGAAGTTGTTTAAAAACTAACTAACTTCCTCCTGATCTTCCTTCTCCCTTGAAAACTTTTTGTGTTCTTACCTCCCCTCAACCCCTGGTTCCTCCTTGGGGAGCGAGACAGGCTGTAGAAGCTCAGACAACATATGATCATGGGGGAAAAAAAACATGATGGCAACATGTTCTTTTGAAAAAAGAAAAAACAGGTTGACATTTGGACCCTCTTCAAATGCAATGCTGCTGAGAGAAAAAGTGGTTGAGAGGAGCCCTGTGGCTACAAAATCACTGGGAAGAAAACCACAAACCTGAAAAGACAAATTAAGGTGCACCACACAGAAACATTAAGATGCTGCTAAAGAAAGTACAATTAAATACTGATACACTTTTGAGAGTCAGGTTTTTTGTTGATTTTGAATGAGTCAGTGCAGTTAAATATCATCTGCATATATATACATATATACAGTATATATAATATATATATTGACTGTAAACCAAGTGAGGTGAAACAAATTGAAAGCTTTTGCCTGGACCTCAGGACACACACACAAACACACACAGATCTGCCTGTAACATCTGCTGGTTATTGAAATGCAAAGCTTATTATGCAGAAGATTGATTTTGGACGAGAGTAAGTCTGTTGGACAGCAGCCGGCTGCTTTGTGTGCAAAGAGGTTCCAAGTATTTTCTTTACAAATTTATTTAAAAACTAAATACTGAGTTCAGCACAGTCTAGTGCACACAATAACCACTGAGGCTTTTCAACATAAAGAATAAAACACCTTCCTGGCACCGGCCTGACCAAAGTGAACATTATAAGCACAGGATTTATTGCAGGGCTGTTTTACAGGGTTTTCTGGATTCTGGATACTCAGGGTTTGCGCAAGTTAAATTCATAGCAATGATTGACTCACAGATTTAGATTGCACTGGATTTGCTAATGTTGTTGCATGCTCGCCAGAGTCATTGTTTTTACCCTCCTCCATGTCTCGCTGTCTTGCTCAAATTAATAACATCAGAGCAGACGCCCTCTCTGCAAAGCTGCATTGTTAATCATACGTCCTGTCATTCTGTGGCTTATTTTCATTTTTCTGTTCTTTCAGCCGAAAATCAGTTTATTTTCTTTATTTTTCTTCTTTTCTGTGGTTAACACAAGCTCCAGACATTTTAACGTTTTATTCTACGACATAAAATTCATCAGTAAGTACCCCAGTCCTGATTTCTTTAAGCTCTTACGTCTCTTAAAAAAGGCCGGTTGCTAAGAAGTGTCTGAATGAGACTACAGAGATTGTCGGGATGTTAAACATTTTAACACTGAAAGTGAAAACCGCTCAACTCACCAGTCCACCTTCACAGCATCGTTGTGTTTATATTGTTACTAACTTTGTAAGAGGAAAGGCTTTCGTAGAAGAAGTAAGAGCTAAATCAAACTACAAGTTTAAGTTAGTGGTGGTGGTGGTGGTGACATTGATGTCATGCAACGGTGGTGTAGTTTGTTTATAGCCTAACCTTAGCTTTTGACTCCGGCTGATTGTATTTAGGCTTCAGAAATCATAAAAGTGATGTTCATCGGTGAAGATTATCCCGCTGAACAATATCACATATTTTATTTTCTGCAGTAATCCAAAAGGTAAAATCCCATTGTTTTTGTCGATGGACACAGGGTGATGATAACATCCTAGTTGGCCTCCAAAAATATGTAATTCCTGCAGCACTCTATTTGGTAAGACACCAAAACTAGGGTGTTATTTGCTGTTATTTCCAAATCTTTAGACATGACATGGATTCCTTCACACTTTAATTGCTGTCTTACCAAATGCTAACCTCTCTTGTTTTCCCTGTGTCTTCCTGCAGCCATAGAGACTGAGAGCACGAGTTCAGGGGAGGACCTGCTCGTCCCCAGCCCCCCCTCACCTCCGCCCCCACCCCGCATCTACAAGCCCTGCTTTGTGTGTCAGGACAAATCTTCAGGATACCACTATGGAGTCAGCGCCTGTGAGGGCTGCAAGGTACGCAGCTGAACACATATGCATTAGCTTAACTTAACAGCAGCACAACATACACAAACTACAACACTCTCTGGGTAACAGGGTCATCCATGTACATGAACAGCTGCGAGCTATAGCGAGAAAACCTGAATGAGAAATAATTAGAAAGAGCATGAGACTACAGAGTATGTGCTTAATGTGTCAGCGAAGAGGTCACAACCTTTACCCTTGGATCTGTAAGCCTCTTTGCTTCATCGAACACTACACACACACACACAGACAGAGTTTATGTCCTGTTAGACCATGTACTGACCTGCTACCAGCTACCCAACAAAACAGTCATCATCAAAAGTCATCCTTGTTTTCACTGCAGGTTTAAAAGGCAGCATGCTGGCAATGCTGTTTTGTATTCTTGTTCCCTTGCTTCTGTGTTTCATTCATTGCCCCCACCTCTTTCTGAAAGGGTTTCTTTCGGAGGAGCATCCAGAAGAACATGGTGTACACTTGCCACCGGGACAAAGTCTGTGTCATAAACAAGGTGACAAGGAACCGGTGTCAGTCCTGTCGACTGCAGAAATGCCTTGATGTCGGCATGTCCAAGGAGTGTGAGTACAGTGTGTGGAGAGGGATGAACCTCTAAAAGACTGAAAATAAGAAACATGAAACAGTAGGCAGCTACTTTACTGCAAATGCTTTGCAGTCACACATTGATAGAACAGATCTGCAGGGTAAACTATAAATTTCAAGCGCAGTGCTCTTCCCAGGCAGCACAGTAATGTGTTTTAACCTTGATATTTGTCTCCCCCTGGTGGCCTATTATGGGTAATACATGCCCTGCAAAACCACCAGCGTTCCGTGTAATAGCCAGGCTCATGCATCACTCTCTCAGATGCTTTTTCAAATCTTAAAGGTCCCATATTGTATAAAGTGAGATTTCCATTTGTTCTTTGGTAATAAAGCAGGTCTAGGTTCTATGTTAATACTGTGAAAGTATCAAAGCACTCAGTCCACAGAGAAATGCACACAGTCTGTATTCAGAAACTGAGCCTTCAAACGAGCCGTCAGGACTTCTGTAACTTTGTGATGTCACAACAAAGCAGCCGCCGCCCTCAGCCACGCCCTAAGCCCCGCCCACAATCCAACCTTACAGGATTTGGTTTCTCTGAGTGTTTACCTGAAATCTGCTATATTTTTATTGGATCTCTCAGAAAATAGTCAGCCAATCAGAAGAGAGGATTAGAACCTCCTCTCTACTGATTGGCTCACCGACCTGTTGTTAGAAGAGATGTAAAACTACATTGAGATGGTTTTTGGTTCTTAAACCACAAATATATCTTCAAATAAAACAGTTACCTTCTCCAGAGAGGGATAACTCCATCTTTGTCTGGCCCAGTAACATGTGGTGCGTTCATCCCTATCCGTTTTGTAGCCGACAGCCTGTCAAAACACCTGCGCCTATTGTTTTCTTTGTAAAATCCTAGACACATATCAAAACATTTGGTACCTAAATCTTAAAGCACTGGGTCGTTGGATTTTGATTGTTTTAGTGGCTTTTGCACAGGTGAGTTACTGTTATGAGAAATGCCTTCATTGTTTGAGAACTGTATTCAGAGTTGTGAGAATATTTCTGTTGTGTGAACTGCTTCAGAACAACTGACTGACTGGTTCGACTGCCAGCCATCCTCAAGTGTAGCAGGGAGAAAGGCAGGGGAGGTTGAGGAAGACAAATAGCATATGGCTCAACAAGAGACACTTGATATTTTGTTTCAGGCACAAAGGCAGACACGTCTTTCAGCCCATTCGGGTTTGCAGGCCTGATTATAAAACTGTATAAAACTGCCATGACCGTGATAAGTAAAGTCTACCAAAGTGGTGATTTAAAACTTAGGTCAAGAAAACCTCCTTGTCCTTCACATCTCAAATGTTCAATGTGAATTGCCGCTGAAAATTCTAAGATAAATCCTCCTCTCTTTACCTCCACCATCAGTGGTACGAAACGACAGAACGAAGAAGAAGAAGGAGGAGAAGAGGCAAGGGGAGGTAGAGATCCACGTTCTGTCAGCGGACACAGAGCAGATGATTGAACGGGTTCGCCAGGCCCATCAGGACACATTTCCCTCCCTGTGTCAGCTGGGAAAATACACCACGGTACTCACACGCACACCACAGCATTCTGTTAACACATGAATCTAGCTTTAACTGATGCCACTGTTATAAAGACATTTTCTTCAGCTTTCTTGAGAGATCTGTGTCTCTGTCTTCCACCCCTCACCCAAACCCCAATGTACAGAGCAACAGCTCAGAGCACCGTGTCTCGCTGGACGTCAGTCTTTGGGACAAGTTCAGCGAACTCTCCACCAAATGCATCATTAAGACGGTGGAGTTCGCCAAGCACCTGCCTGGCTTCACAACGCTAACCATCGCTGATCAGATCACGCTGCTCAAAGCCGCCTGCCTCGACATACTGGTGAGTTTAACAACTCCTCAAGAAGACAGAGAAAATGTACAGTTGTGACAGCAGAAAGTTCAGTGTTTCCTTTGGTCTTCGGCCACTTCATCCACTTTTCCTAGGTTCTGAGGATCTGCACTCGCTACACCCCGGACCAGGACACAATGACCTTCTCTGACGGTTTGACTCTGAACCGCACCCAGATGCACAACGCCGGGTTTGGACCTCTCACAGACCTCGTCTTCTCCTTTGCCAACCAGCTGCTCCCGCTGGAGATGGATGATGCAGAGACGGGATTACTCAGCGCCATCTGCCTGCTCTGTGGAGGTACTGCACTTGATTTCTCAGGAGAATGAACTGAAAGAAGAGAGAAGAGTTTTATTTATTTACTTTTATTCTGTGCTGTGGTGGAAAAAAATGTGGAACTTGCAATGTGTGCAGCAAGTGTCTGTGTCATGTTCATGGCTGCTGGAGAGTATCCACTGCCATCTACCTGGCATGTGTGTTTATTTTTAATATTTGTTTAATGATGTTTTTGGTTAGAAAGCAACAACAAGGCCAGCCCCATAAACATGAATGTCTGTGACTGACTGACTGACTGACTGATAGAGTTGAGTGATCAAGTTACACCATTGGTCGGTCGGCCAAGGGTTGGCGTTCCCCCATTGGCCGTTGCTCTTGCTCTTTCAAAATGAAGAGGCACCGTTTCTATGAGGGGGGTGTTTACAGCCTGCAGTGTGGCCAGCTCAGCGCATTTATCGCAAGATTTAGAGATTTATTATTTTCATTTTTTTATGAGAGCACAGAGAAGAGGAGAGAAGAGAGCAGATAAAAAGTCATCTACAGTGCTTCCATGACAATTTTCAATAACGAGGGTTTGACCTGGTCTTGTTTCTGGGTGTGTGTTTTTGCAGATCGTCAGGATTTGGAGGAACCAGAAAAGGTGGATGTTCTTCAGGAGCCAATGCTAGAAGCTTTGAAGGTTTGACATCTAATTATTATTATAATACTATATTGTTTCTTCCACTTTATTACCTTGTTGCCTATGTTTGCTCCATAACACACACATTAAACCACCAGAGTAAAAAAAGCATCCAAAACAAGAAACACATGTGCCATTACTCTCAAGCATCAGTGGAAATGTTGTAATCGCAGAGCACATACTATAAATAACTGATTCACCAAAAAGGAACATTTTCATATAAATAAATTAATGAATACATGTCTTCATGTATGTATAGATCTATGTGAGGAGGAGGAGGCCTGATAAACCCTGTATGTTCCCTAAAATACTGATGAAGATCACTGACCTCAGGAGCATCAGTGTGAAGGGTGAGAGACACACACACACACACACACACACACACACACACACACACACACACACACACAGATTCAACCCATTGTTCCTCTGGGTTCTTTGCTCATCCTTTATTGTTTGAGTTGGTTTCTGTTGTTCTGTTATTGTCTTCAGGTTATAATGGTAATAAATTGTGGAATATTTATTTCGTTGAAGTGGCAGTTTCAGTTAATGAAGGCAGCTCCATTCATAATAACTCCTTCTGTTATCCTGAGCTTTCTTCTTCCACCTCTTTCTCTTACAGGAGCAGAGCGAGTGATCACACTGAAAATGGAGATCCCCGGCTCCATGCCTCCTCTCATTCAGGAGATGCTGGAGAACTCTGAGGGTCTGGAGGGGCATGGAGCTGGGGGAGAGAAAGGGGGAGGAAAAGGTAGAAGAGGAGGCAGAGAAGAGGATGAAAAAGACCTCAGGAGCTGTCATCCAAGGCCCTCGCTCAAATCAGTCCCCTCCCGCAGCCCAAGCCCCATTTCCTGCTCCCCTTCCTCTCCCTCCCCCTCCACCTGAAGCTCCACACTCAGCAACTCTCCTCCACACAGCGCCACCACTCAGGGGGCATGGACAACCATCCACACGGCAGACACACAGAGAATGAAAGCAGAAAAAAACTGCACCTAATAACAGATAATCTGGAAGACACATTTGAACCCATAAACTCACTGAAACATGTCGAGTGAAAGCAGGTAAACTATGGTTTGTGTTCAGATATCAGTTTCATACGTACAGTGCAAAAAATATGCTCACTTTTTTAAAGTCTTTTTATAATGCCTAAATGTTAATTATTTGCAGACTGTGTGAACCTCAATGAAGGATTATGTATACGGAATATGGGCAGACTGATTAAGAGGATTCCTGTTATATCACTCACTTCCTTTCTAATGAAAAGTCATGTGTAATATGCAAAATCTATATAAGAGTGAAGTTGCAACAGAGGCATGGTGGCAGTTTTACTTGAAAAACATCATCAGCAACAGACAGAGGTGACGACAAAACAACAGATGATAAATAGCAGGTGTGCCAGTGTTTTGCTCAGGTACATCAGTTGGGCTGATGATGCACAGCTTGTGAGATCTCACAGCAACAACACAAGTGAACAAAAAATTCAGCAAGCAACTCTATTTCTTTTGAGGCTCTTAAACCACCGTTCGAGGCAGGTTTATAACTGCTGATAGCAAAAGCTTCTTTAAGCAGTAGTGTTTCCCAATGTTTACTTTGATCACTAATTTCAATGTTATTGTAGATTGTCCATAGATGATTGTCCTCTATGTGAGTTGCTTCAAACTGAGCTTTCTGAGATTCTGGTTCTGCTCACTTGCCAGACCTCTGAAATAACAGTGATACAATGTGTGGTATGAAAAAGATAACACCAGTTCAGTAAATCATTCAAACTTATGTCTGACTGTGTATGTGTGATTGTGTCCTGGCCCGCCATCTAATGGCTTAGAAAAAAAAAACTGTCCTGGTTCCAAACTTGTTTGCCAACACCTGATCTATATTGTCAGCACTATAAGCAGGACACCTGGAGTGACACAAAACAAAGGTGTGTACAGGTGTGTACCTGAGTACCTGAAACTTCCACCATGCCTCTGTCCTTCTCTGGCATAACTTTACTCTTACATGTGTTGAATATTAGTGGATCTCCTGGTACATGTGGAATCATTATGTATAATATAGTGTATATAAAAAGGCTGTGAAAGAAGTTGTTCGACGGAGACAGACTGATACAAGAAGTTATTTTCCTAAGTGTACATTTGTATATTCTGTATTTCCCCAATTCAGCCATGGAGACCTCTTCCTTCTTCGTCTTTTCACCATCACCAAACCTCACATACTGTCCCCAGTCTTCTCCTTTCTTTCTCCCCACAGACATATCAGGGAAAAATAATGATCCTTGACTTCAGTTCCCTTCTCTGAAATCAGAAATGTAGACAAGAATTACAGACTTTAGATATGGGAAATTGATTTTTTTTTTTCTCCTCTGTTTTACTTTGCATCATCATCTGTAGTTAAAGATGTATTTGGGTTGTTTTCAGATGCAGCTCCAGCAACTCAAATGACTTGAACAAACTGTGAAACATAAGATTAGTTTTAAAATAGTACAATATCTGCCTGTTGGTGGACACTTTCAACCAAAGTTAACTGTGATACCTGAAATGCAAACACCCTTCACAAGAGTTTCCCCATCTGATAATAAACCCCCACTGAGGCACTAGAGGTGTAAAGCACTGCAGAGTTATAGTTCAATGAAGATAATGTGGAAATCTCATCGTCACTGATGACAGGTGCCGCCAAAACATGCGTCTAAATGTAAAAGCTGTGTTTTGTTTTTACAGTCAAAATGCAAAATGTACTATCATAGTATCCCTCTAGGGTGCCACTGCCTACTGTCAGGTACAAATCTTGTAACTCCAATTTCACTGTTGTCCTCTTTAATTTATGGTGAGGTAACACTCACTCAAAGACTATAAAAATACAGGGAGTTAAATAAAGTTGTATGATTTTCTTCTTCTATCTTGATATGTGTGTGCTCTTTGGTTAAAAACATGATGCTCACTGTAAAATGTGGTATTGTAATATTCATATTGTCTTATACAAGTGACACAACAACCAAGAAAACTCATTTTATCAAGTAATTCTAAATCCTCCACCCACTATGATGTTTGTTTTGTAAATGCATGTAAAATGCAAGGTCAGTCGATATCTGTTGAAGCATCTGTAATGAATATGTACATAAAATACCAGTTAATGTAAGAAAAATGACTAACAGGATGCCTGTGTTCCTCTGTGCCCGTTGGGTGTCTATGTAAATCAACTTCTTGTTTTTTTTTATTTTATTTGTAAGGCAGGCCTATGCAATAATAATTAAAAAGAAATATATACCCACGAACTCACATACTTCGCAAATATAGTTACCCAAATACTGTATGTGCATAAACAGATACATACGGACATACTTAAATATGAATATTAACAAAAAAGTAAAATAATCAAAAAAATAAATAGGTAGAAAATAAGGAAAAAGTTTTTTAAGTAACAAGGAAATCAAATGTATAAACTGGTATCAAGGTTTGTTGCTCTGAGGTTGTTTTGAGTCAGAAAATATAACCACAGACTTCACTGTGGACAATTTCCTGTGTCAAAGAAATAGTCTACTGAAAAAAAGGCTGTAAACATGTTTATTTCTGCTGTAAAATTGGACATTTTAACATGGAAGTCTATAGGGATTGACTCGCTTTTGGAGCCAGCTTCTAGAGGTCATTCGAAGATTGGTCTTTTTGTCTGATTGGGTCTATATACTACAGTACCCATAAGCCTCTTTGGTTGTTGCTATGGGAAATAATTCAAAATCCAGAAGTGAACCGAGTTTCTGCTGAATTTATTCAACAAGTTGGAATATTAAGCTCCATGACTCACTGTTTCTAAACACCTGCAGATGTTCATGACCTCGTGTTTCACTAATCAGAAAGTTCAGTGCATTAAGTCACCTGGCTCATTCCATTCATTTGTAATGCCAATACTCACTTTTGAAGCCCTTTGATACCCACAATCTGAAGTCCAAATGGACACCAGTCATCAATGCACTGCAAAAGGAGGTTAGAAATAAAACTTTGTGTATGTGGTTTGGGCAGGCAACACAGTAACACTAGACTTTGTGTGTGCATGTAATCCTTAGATGATATGAGTACAGGGCCGTTGTGAGGAAAGAGGAAGCTAAAAAACCCTGAATATGTCAACCAAAGATCTTTTCACACATCCGCTCAACATTCAACACCTCCTATAAGATTAGAATTCTGCTGTGCTCCAAAGACCCTGATGCTGATGCTCAGTTTAGTCCAGTAAATTGCATGGCTGTGTTGCTGTGCTATGTACAATCGTAAACTTTGTTAAAATATGGTTGAGATTATGGAACCCCTAGGCATTGCACTGCATCTTTATGATTGGCCTATAATCATAACAAACACTTCAGTTATCGCGTTTAATCAGTTTATGGAATCATTTGTATGACAGTGCCTCTGTGGTCCTCCCTCTCCAATTCACCCTGAGGTTCTGTCCAAGAAAATCACAAACAGAACTGGTGACAAGAGACGAAACACGTTTGTACGATGTGCTGTCCGACCACAGATATAAATAAATGGAACGGTAAAGACTTTATGGAGAGAGAGAGAGATGTTTCTGTGAAAAGTGCAGATGTAAAACCCAAGGCTATGACATGTCAGTCTATGCTCAGTGGTTATAAAAACACGTCACAGTCAGTAACACTGATGTCGGGGTGTTAAACGCTAGCCTACAAATTCCTCTTTATTTGCTTTATGCATTATATTCACAGTATAAGCGAAAAAGTTCATGCCACTGCCACCACACTGCTGTGCAGCCTCTGCGTTTATGCCAACCCTCGTCTCTGAGTCACCTGCATTGACCAAAATGTTGAAGCCTCTACCTGCACTTTTTTTTGGTGAGTAACTTGCGCTGCTGTATGTGTGACAGACAGTCAACATGTGTCTGTATCTACTGATCTGTCCTACCAGGATCAACAATAATGATTATGATTGAGTGTTTTCATGTAAAAGAAAAACTTGCAGCATTTTAATGGTGTTTTTTACGGAACAAAATTCACATTTCACATTTGCAACTAAAATGTAGTTCTGACATGCCAAAGGTTCTTTGGGACTGAAGATAGAAAACAAAATATAACAGCTAAACCATGAGTGTGTCCAGTCTTAATTTCCGATGATTGTATTTTCCTCAGGGCATAAACCAATAGGAACACATTATTTGGACATGCACAGATAATGAACTCGGAAAACAAATGTTTTGCAGTGACTTTCAACCCTACCATCACCCCACCACACTCAAAACTATCTCAAAACTTACTCAATTTAGCACAAACATAACTTCTCAGAGTCAAATCTGAACAAACAGACATCATACACTCATTGATTTAATTAGTGGAATTCACTCTGTACACAGCTGTCCATGAATGTGTTTAAAAATCGTAGAATAAAAGCAAACCTCAGTGTAAATGGGAAGTGCAGTTGCCAAATCATCATGACTTTTCACTATTATATAGCTGATAAGTAATTTTTATTAGAGTGGAAGAAGACTTGTTTGCTTCCACTCCAATAAAAATACACTGTAAATTGTGCATTGAGGAGAGGGACGAGGGAAATAAAATGCCATATAGATACCATATGTATGTATTTTATATACACACATACATATCTGTAGCTATCATGGAATTATTAAGGAGAACTGTTACTCTGTTGGATGATGGTGATGAATAATGTAAATATAAACACATTTCTGACTATATAATGAACTGTTTTTTCTTCCCTCCTACAGTCTCTTTTCTCTTGACCTCATCTTCACCTGCTGCAGGTCAGTCCATTCTCCCGTGTGATTTGTACAGTTAAATATGGTACGCTGTGTTTTACATAGCTGATAGGAGTTCAGGTCAGATAAACTGTGTCTACTCAGTGCTCTGGGCCAGATGAAATCTATCACTGTGATGACAACTGGGACTTACGTGATGCTAAGGTAGTTTGCAGGAGTTATTTTTGTGACTACTATTGAAATTATTTTCTTAGTAATAGTCATCCAAATGCTGTTCTAGTTATCCTGATTAAGTAAGCTTTAAGTATTCAATATTTGATTGCGGGATCACAGAATTCCTGCCTCTCGACCAGTATGACCTGGGACAGGCTCCAGGCCCCTCACAACCCTATATAGGATGAAAGTGATGGCTGGAAACTTTGAAGCTCCATGTTGCACAGATTTGAGGATATACATGTAACTGGAATAAAAAACTAAATGTTGTAAACTATGTTTTATGTTTGTCAGGTTCTCAGATCAGATTGGTTGGATCTGGATCTACTCAATGTTCTGGAAGAGTTGAAATCTATCACAATAACGACTGGGGGACAGTTTGTGATGACAGCTGGGACGTAAATGATGCTAAGGTGGTGTGCAGACAGTTGGGCTGTGGTACAGCAGCTGAGCTTGCCTACTTTGGTGGAGCAACCGGGAAGATCTGGCTTGATAATGTGAACTGTTCAGGAAATGAAGGGACTCTAAGTGAGTGTGAGCACAGAGGATTTGGGATACATGACTGTGAACATAATGAGGACGCTGGTGTCATCTGTTCAGGTGAGAAGAATTTTGACTCACTTACTGTATCTGCTATGTATGTATGTTGTAATATTATGTTTGACTATGGAGTCATCGGAGTGCTATAAAAAATAAATCTATAAAAGAATATGAAAATAAATAAAGGTCTCTAAGTGAGTGTCAGTACAGTGGATTTGGACAAAAGGACTGTATACATGGTGAGGATGCTGGGGTCGTCTGTTCAGGTGGTTCCATCTAAGGTAATTAGTAAGTAATCATTTATAATATTAATAATAATAACTTTATTTATATAGCACCTTTAAAAACAGAGTTTACAAAGTGATTTGACAATTGAAGCAAAATAAATAATTGGCAAGATGCTTAGAGGCAATATAACAACAGAAAGCTGGATATTAAAGCCAAACAAAAGCTGGACAGAAGCAAGGTGAAGTTAAAGATGGAAGACATACAATATAGGCCTACCTCAATATAATTAAGGACAATCAGAGAGATTAAATGCCATAAAAAAGCAATAGAAGGATGATAAAGGGGCAATAAAAAGACAACATCACAAATAAGAAGTCACTGATCCAGCTAGCCTCATCTCCTCCGGCAGGTTGTTACAAAGTGAGGGGTCCTGATGGCAAAAGCCCAATCACCTTTAGATTTAAGCATTGTCTTTAAAACAGCCAGAAGGGCCCCATCCTAGGATCTAAGGCTGCGTACTGGCTTGTATGGGGTTAATAATTCTGTAATGTAGCTTGGGTCCAGGCCCCGGTGTGCTTTAAAAGTGATCAGTAAAATCTTAAAGTCAATTCTTAAATGAGGACAAGACAAGACTGGGGTGATGTGATGTTGTCTGTTAAAACTAGCTGGAGGCGGGAGAATGACTTTTGGCTTATGCCAGAGAGGAGAGATTTTATTTCAGTTTTAGAAAACAAATGCATGAGTGACGTTGACTTCTAGATCATGGTAAGAGATTATAGGAGTGATTTTGGAGATGGTTCTTATTTGGAGGAAGCAGGACTGGACAACTTTTTTGATGTAGTGATCGAAGGTCAGGTGTGAATCAAATAATACTCCTATATTTCTAGCAATGGATTTTACATTGGCAGTCTGAACGGGACTGATGGGGTTTGGTGGATTAAACAGTATTATTTCTGATTTTGAAAAGTTTTTAAGTTGAAAGAAATGTTGTGCTATCCAACAGTTAATGTCATTTACACTGTCTAAAACAGCAGCTTGGTGTTCTGGGTCATCAGGTCTTAGAGTATATATGTGTGTAGCAAAAGAGACATTGTGGCATTGGATGACTTGGCCAAGTGGAAGCATGTTGATGGAAAATAAAATTGGACCTAAAATTGAACCTTGTGGTACACCACAGGTAATGCGAGTTGTGGAAGATGCAAAGTTACCTACAGTGACCATAGTAGGTTCTATCTAAAGTATTAGGTAGGAGTAAAAGCAACTGAGGGCAGTATCCTTGATGCCAAGGTTTTATGGTCAATTAAAATGGCCCAAGTTGAAAATGACTAAGGAGCAAAAAGCGTATCTTAAAATGTGTCTTAAAACTGGATAAAAGTCCATTTTGAGCTTCTGGCAGGCAACCACAACCCCAACACATGTGTATAGGGGAGATGATGTCATTGACAGGCAACCTACCATGATTAAAATCACAGATTTCTCTAGGTTTGAGAATTCCTGGAAACATTTGGGATAATGTAGGTACACAACTCAAAAATAAATTTACATTGTCTTGTCATTTTAGACATTTTAATGTGGAAAAGTTTCATATTATAACTTTAAAGGAATTACAGCTCTAATACTGGTGTTTTTTTCAGCGAACCTCCCAAAGCCCAGCATCTCCATGAACCCTGTTGGTGAGGTTACCTGGGGTCAGGACATTGGTATCACCTGTACAATCAAAACTCAGCATTTAGGTGGAACATTCACTCTACAGCAGACGTCAGGCTCATTCAAAAAGGCCGAAACGTCAAGCACCAGCTCTACCACCTTCAGCATTCGTCAAGTGAACTTTGATCATGAGGGACCGTACCAGTGTCTGTATCAGATAAGCATTTCAAGTCGAAACTTGAGCTCTCCTCTAAGTGACTCTGTCAGACTCTCTGTCACTGGTAAACAAAAAATACAGTTCCCAATCCTTTTTTTGTTCACTTGTTGACATGATCATTTTAAATTAAGTAAAAATGTCAAAGAGGTAAAATGTACAGATGTATCTCATTTCAAAGGCAATATCTATTGTTCTAATGTTTTGGGGATTTTTTTCAGTGACCCTCCCAAAGCCCAGCATCTCCATGAACCCTGTTGGTGAGGTTACCTGGGGTCAGGACATTGGTATCACCTGTACAATCAAAACTCAGCATTTAGGTGGAACATTCACTCTACAGCAGACGTCAGGCTCACTCAGAAAGACCAAAACGTCCAGCACCAGCTCTACCACCTTTAGCATCCGTCAAGTGAACTTTGATCATGAGGGACCGTACCAGTGTCAGTATCAGATAAGAGGTTCAAGTCGAGACTTCAGCTCTCCTCTAAGTGACTCTGTCAGACTCTCTGTCACTGGTAAACAAAAAATACAGTTCCCAATCCTTTTTTTGTTCACTTGTTGACATGATCATTTTAAATTAAGTAAAAATGTCAAAGAGGTAAAATGTACAGATGTATCTCATTTCAAAGGCAATATCTATTGTTCTAATGTTTTGGGGATTTTTTTCAGTGACCCTCCCAAAGCCCAGCATCTCCATGAACCCTGTTGGTGAGGTTACCTGGGGTCAGAATATCGGTATCACCTGTAAAATCAAAACTCAGCATTTAGGTGGAACATTCACTCTACAGCAGACGTCAGGCTCACTCAGAAAGACCGAAACATCAACCACCGACTCTACCACCTTCAGCATCCCTCAAGTGAACTTTGATCATGAGGGACCGTACCAGTGTCAATATCAGATAAGAGGTTCAAGTCGAGACTTCAGCTCTCCTCTAAGTGACTCTGTCAAGCTTTCAGTTACTGGTAAGAAAAATAAATCCACATCCTGAACTTGGTTTGTCATTTACATGTATAAATTATCAAGTATACTAGAAAGTATGCAGAGAGTGAATACCTTGTTGAATACCATGATTGGATTATACAACTGTTATGAGGCAATGCAGTTGCAAGAACTTTGTCATATTACTTTTTTAGTTGTTTTTTTCTAGAGGTACATTTCTTATATCTGATATCTGATCTATTGTTTTTGGCCAGTATCAGACTAATACTAATCCTAAGTCATGTATGAGGACATCATCTTGTATTCTTTGGTTCCACCCAAACTCCACATTCTCCTTTAACTTTGATTCTTTTGCATTCTTGTTTCCACTGTTTTTCAGAGTGGCACAGCTTTAAATATGTGTAGTATCTATCCTTAGCATTACTGATTTACAAATTTAGGAAAACTAAATGGTCACATTATGTTGTCTCTTTTGTAACCAGTGCCCCTGCAGCAGCCCAACATCTCCCTGACATCTCCTGATGGAGGGTTGGTCTGGAGTCCTGAAGCCACAGAGGTCACAAGGGGTTACAGCTTCTTCATCACCTGCTCAGTTTCCTCCAACTATCCTTGGGGTGATTTCTCTCTCATCTTCTCTGGTTCCAAGACCGCTGTCACTAAGCCTGCAATCAACCACTCAACTACCTTTGAGTTCCCTGCAGCTGACTATGAACACCAGGGCAATTACAGCTGTGTGTATGAAGTCACACTGTCATCAAGGAAATTCATTTCTACGAAGACAACATCAATTACTGTCATCATTAAGTGTAAGTAGGTAGAATTTATTGGCTCCATTAGTGTCTTTACCGGCTCCATCAGTGTCATTCCTTCTTCATGTGTAAGTAAATTGATGGCTACATACATGTTATTTGTCTATTTTCATTAGTGACCGGCTACAATAGGTATACTAACATCATCTGACTTGCTGTTACCCATATTATAAATGTGTTCAGCAAATGTTGCTATTGCTAGTTGGCTAACTGTCAGCTTTGCTGTGGAGGATATAACAGCAATGCTGGTGTGGGCTAATGGTTGTGGCTGGGTTTTTTTTTTTTCAGCTCTTGTGTACACAGGATAACTTTATTCAGTTGTGCTTCTTGTTTGCTAAGTGTCCACTTTCACTGGGCTTCGTAACACCATGTTGACTGAGAATGTGAAGGGAGGGGGGTAGTGCTAGACCAGGGGGCTGGAGGTGTGGCCGATGAAGCATTTGTTTTGGTCTGAGATCCTGGTGGTCTAGTGCGTTCTAGTGGCACTGACGATGGTTTACAGAACCTTTAAAGGCACAGTCAACTTGGTGACTGTAAACTTCTGACTTCAACTGTAAACCTGGCAGCACTGCACATACCTTAACATACCGTGTGGACTTGGTAGGCACACTTCAGCAGCACCTTAACATGGGTAGAGCCATGTCCCTGCTTCTATACCTAAATCCATGCCTACATATCATACCACAACAATCATTGTCAGATTCCTAAAGACAACACTTAAAGAAACAGCTTGACTCTAACAGCAGACTATACCTTTAATAGGAAAAAAACATTATACAATAGAGAATCAGACATGCTCTGATTCTGAACAAAAAAACAGTAACTGTCGGTGTTTTCTCTCCTAGTGTCGCTGTCACTGCCGGTCTCCTTACTGGCTGCTGGGAGCCTTGTGCTCCTGGTCTTGGTGGTGATCTATCTGGTCTGCAAGAGAAGACGACAATCTCAATGTCTGTACTCACCATTACACACATTACATTACATGAAAGTGCTGTTGTTTGTTTTATCCATTTTCAAGACACACTTCAGTATCCAAGTGTGGATTCTTGTGAACGCGATATCTCAGTAACACCTTGAGGGAATTTGGAACAAACTTTTACTTGTACTCAACAATGGACTGATTAGATTTTTGTGGTCAAAGGTCAAAGGTCAAGGTTACCGTGACCTCACAAAACACATTTTTTGTCCATAACTCACAAACGTATACACTAATTATGACACAATTTAACTCAAATATCTATAGGGATAAAATAAAGTGATGACATTTTATATCGAAATGGTCAAAGGTCAACTTCCCGGTGACATCATAATGTTCTGCAAAAACATTCATGCTGTAGCTCAGGAAGGAGAGACTGTGACCATACTTCCTGCAACGTGGCTGGTTGGTGGAGGCATACGGAGGCATACAACCAGGAGGCGGTAATTCTAGTTAAACAGTTGAGTCTCTTATTCATGACACATTCTGTTTCTGTGCTTGTGTTCCAGTGGCTGTCAGGAATCATTATGTAGACTCCGACAATGAGGAGGAGGAGGAACAGCATTATATGAACTTTGAACCATTGAAGAAGAGGCAGGAGAAGCAAACATGTGGGATGGTGGACAGTGACGAAGATCATGATAAAGAAGAGAGCGATGAAGATCCTGTCTATGAGAACGCTGAAGGCCATTGTTATGTAGGAAACCAGGAGACCTATTTTTCTGTAGAGGACAACAGAGAGGAAGCGGTGTATGAAGACAGTGTTGCTTATGATGACGCCTATGTAAGTCTACGCCAGTCCTTTGCTGAAGATGCTCTGGACATTTATGGAGTAGAAGAAGATATTTATCAAGATGTTCAGCTTTCTGCTGATGACCATTTTAACAACAGTACATGATTCACTGCAAACATTTTAATCATATGTGTTTTCTTTAATTACAAACACAAAACATACTGTTTGACGGGTTTCAAATCTATATAATGTGCTAATTCTAAGCAGGTTTCACAGTGAAAAGTGTCACTCATAGCAGACAGCATGCCTAACAAATTTGGTTGATTTTTGCTATTGATGGACACTATTGTGGGTGGTGGTGGGACAGCTCCAGAAAGATCTTGGAAAATGAAAAACATTTAATCTAATCTAATGTTGTACACATTAATAATTTCCTATTAGTATAAATCTATTAGCAATATAAAACATATGTTAATTATTTAAGATTAATTATAATAAACACAAAAAACACTGGTAATGCCAACTTTCTCCGAATTTAAAAATGTAAGTATTTCCCAGGTGGTATAAATTGGGAGATATCAATTCATTTTTATAGCAGCATTTTATTAGTTGCCTTGTGTTTTTTATAATGTATCTCATTGCTCTTCCTATTTTTTATTGCATTTTATCTTTGACATTGTTTTTAAGACACTTGCAATGTATATATATATATATAGCACTTTTGTAAAGGGTTTTTAAAGTATGCCACTGTAAAAAGGCACGTTTTGGGCCAAGACCACACAAGCTCGTGTGCTGCCTGCATGCATTTCCTGTTTATAGATCAGGGATCTCTTTATGGTGACTGGTTGTTTATATATACAGTAAACAGTATTTGTTGTATGACGATCCTGATGGACGCCACTTGCCGAAATGCATTGATCTGACAATAAAGCTGTAATTTGTACTACAAGTGTTGAGGGACTTTTGATCTCTACACAGCAGTGTACATGGAAAGAACAGCAGGAAAGAAAAAGGTAACAAATTTAGATTTTGGAGGGAGGTAGAAATAAATTACACTGAAAGTACTTTTTAAATTACCTGTACATATTAAATAATCACAGGGGACCAGCAGGCTTATATATACAGTATGTATATTACAGTATATGTACTTTAGTGTGTGCTGAATATCATAAGTCCTTGTTTATTTTAATTGTTTATCATATTAGCCTATTTATTTAATTATTTGTATAAAAAATCACCTTTTATGAATTTCGGCAACTGCCATTCAAACATCCTCTGCACGTCCCTGTGTATTTGCTGAAATTTAGCCTTAACCCAACACTTTGCAGCTAATCCAATTTATTAAATTTGAATGGGAAAGTAGTCTTAGATTTTTAGACCCCACTGTCTATATATAGTATATATAGCTATGTTTGTTGTGTGCCCTTCTCATCTAGTCAGTGCCTAAACACAGAAGGGTAAGCTGCAGGACTGTGTTAGCATGGCTGGCTGGATGGCTAGCTAGGTTAGCTAACATGCTAGCTGTATATTTCTGGATGACCCTTAAAAGCCATGAAATACATGTTTTACAAGAAATGGGCTACATAGAAATACACTTACAGTACTAGTCAAAAGTAGTGGTACTGTATATGTTCTTGTTCCATGCATGAGAGGCACTCTTCTGGTACACTGCAATTTGGTGGAAATCTCACATCCATGTTTTGGGCCATGGTGATGCCAGTTCATTGCAAAAGGTCAAGTCCCAGGTCACAACCAGAGGACATATCACTGTGAGTCCACCTCCGCTCAAGACCACCTTATCTTTAAATGTGAAATGTTTCCTGTTATATGAATATGAATATGAGTTATCACATTATAACATGAAACGTTCTATGTTATATCAAAAAGTGATCACATCACAACATGGCTCAAGAGACTGCAGGGCTGATTAAGTGGGAACAGGTGTGTGAATGTGGAAAACATGTTGTTATAACAAACTAATTGTATAGCCTATATCTTAGTTTAATCCACCTTTATTCAACCTCTGTCCTATCATGAGTAATTTATTTTTAATTACAATTGTGTTTATTTTCTCTACAAATTACAGTACATGTACTCTCCTTGCTGTGAGGTGGTTTTTAGGTGCAAACTGTCCTTTGACCACTAGATGTCCTCCGCCTCATCATGACAGCTGCTGCTTCAACTGTAGCCACGGATTCTGTTGTTGTCTGTAGCACACACACACACACACACACACACACACACACACACACACACACGCTCACACACACACACACACACACGCATAGGCACACTGAGCGTATTGGCCACGCCCCTCTCGTGAATAATTCATCACCCACCGTCGCCCGGAGGAGACTCGTGCCACCAGAGCTCTTCAGACGTCAGCTCGTGCTCACCGGGGGAAGGAAAATAATGGTCATAATATCATCATCCGTCTATTGATAAAGAGATACTAATATCCGGTAATGAATGGGGAATTGGGAAGAGAGGGAATCCGCCTCATCCTCAACGACTCCGTTGGTTTCTACCGGAGATTTACGAAGGAGAACTCACCGAGGGTTTGATATTAACCCGACCGTATCCGACCTATTATCTGCCGGTCTGACATTATTCTCATCGCCCGTGATTTGAGGGAAGACGCACAGTCAAGGTAGGTTTACTGTATGTCCCGGGTATTTATTTGTGTGTGTGTGTGTGTGTGTGTGTGTGTGTGTGTGTGTGTGTATGTGTGTGTGTGTGTGTGTGTGTGTGTGAACGAGGGAAGTGGAGATAGATATTGTAGTAAGATGGCTGGTGTGCGTGTGTGTGTGTGCGTGTGTGTGTGCGTGTGTGTGTGTGTGTGGAGGCTCCCATCTCCTGCCAGCACAGCCATAATATCAAAGAAATCAATAACATATTTGATATATTAGTAATATTAATAATTATATTTTTCAGCCTAATAATAAACATTTTAGATTATTATTGTTGTTGTTGTTCTGTAATTGTTATAATGTGACCCCTGGTAATGGATAGGATCTTATAATAATTGATAAGATTCTGAATTCACCAACTCTGAATTACTGCGGAAATGTTGCAATGACAGTTTTAGAAAACACATCTACATTTTGTCTTGATGATATATAATACAAACGGCGGCTGACACAGTTTTTGATCATTTCACTTGTAGTTGGAAGCAGGAGGAGTGGGGAAAAGTAGAAAACAACAATACAGACTAAAATGAGAGTAGCACAGGTTGCAGGGTGGAATAGATGAACTCCTGTGTATGCATGTGTGTGAAAACGATTTTACTTTCCCTGCCCCTCAGCTGTCTCCCGTTCTCATCTCTCCCACATTTTGTGCACATTTGAAGTTCCTGTTGGTTGTACAGGACTGGATGTCTGTTGGAGCCAGCTGGTGGTTAACAGTTGCTGCTGGCAAGAAACAGAAATCCTTTGTTTGGAAATGACGGAATTACCTCTCACAATACTATGTCATCTATCTATCTATCTATCTATCGACCTATCTATTTACGGTACATATTGAAAACCCTTATGAACCTAACAAAAGGTCAGGAGTCCTGCATCAACCACACTACCCCCTCGGCTCTTGTCCTCTCTCTTCAGCAGTGCGCAGCAAATTATATATAAGAAGAATTCCTAATTATCATTGGCTAGCATCCAAAGACTATAGTACACTAGCGGTGGATGTTGTGGGTCCAGTGGACGAGGAGGTGGAGCTGGGTGATAGGGGAACATTGGAGGAGGTCTGCTGAAGGTAGGAGGTTGTATAAATAAGAGACGTTTTCTGTTTAAAGTTAATGTCACTAACATTTTGAAATGACGCTCGTTTTCAGATGTTACAGAAAGCATTTACTTTCGGAGGGAGACAAAGGTTTTCAGAAGTCTTGCAGGCCACATTCTTTCTGCTGATGTTGAAGGCTGTTAAAGAATATTAATATTTTATTATTACAGCATGAAAATAAATACTCTCGATAATATCTATGCATCAGAATAGTTGTTTTTTATTACAGTTATTTTGGGGGCATTTTACCTTTATTTGATAGTTGACGACCTACAGAGAAACTGGTCACAGGGGCAGAGAAAGGGGGGGTGTGACATGTATTGAGGGTCCCCTGGCCGGAAAGTGAGCCATGTGGTCTGTACCTTAAAGCCCCAATAGCTGATAAATTTTGATATTTAAATTACTCCAAAGGTAAAAGTACTGTTGGTTTGCTTTACCATCTGTTTGGGAAAGGTAGGCCTATTGTTATCCCTGATCAGGCAGGGATAGTGAGCCACTTGGGGCTGCAGCCAGTGTCAGTGGGAGGCACACGAGGGGATCGAGCGGGTTGTGGAACCTGTGAAGGAAAAACTGGAGCAGCCCAAAGAGTGCTCTTCTTCTGTGGTTGGGATGGGAGGCACCAGGCAGGATAGAGGAAGTGAGGAGGAGTAGTATGTTTGGCCCGGTGCCGCTCTCTCTCTTCTGGCCAGAGTTTGGGCCTTGAGCCTTGCAGCATGGTTCTCCACCTTCTCTACCCAGGGTTTGGTGGTGTTCTTCCTGACCTTGCTGTTATTGTGGGTGAAGTTGATGTCAGCCAGGAGACGGACGGGGTTTCCTGTTATCCAGCGTGATGCCAGGGGGGACGGTTGAGGTAGAGAGAAGGAGGTAGAGAGGGCAGATGGCCTTGGGGGCGGGGCAACAGGGGACGGAGCCCAGATGGCATGACCCACGACCAGTCAATGGCCGTTGGGTCCAGAGGGTAGAGGCCACACCCCCTGAACCCAGCCACCACTTTAATCCAGATCTCCCGTAAGACCACACAAATCTGTAAGATGTGAGGTGGCGGGCTGAGGAGAGTGACACCTTCCCTCTGTGCCACCCGATCCAGACTAGCTCTGGATCCAGTTGGGACGGGTGCCTGTACATGACAAACACCAGCAGTCGTGCCTGCGCAGCGGACTCCAGGAAGTGCTTTTACTTCCTTAACTTCCTAAGCTCCCCATCCATGTGCGCTGTTGGCGAATTCCTATTGAAGGACCCTTGTTATAGCGGATATCCCCCCATATATATGATAAAAGGGGGGACATCCTCCAAAGCCATGCTGATGCCAGAAACCTCCTGGTTTCAGCTGTTTCAATGTTCGGGCCTTTCCTCTGACTTTTCTCCTGAAGCGAAGTCCAGCTGAAACTGCAGCTTGTCGTGGTTGTAGACTTGACAGGGCTTCTTCCTCAACCTGTGCTCCTCTAAGGGTGCAGTCAGAAACCAGAAGTACTCTTTGATGGGCACCCTCTTGGTGTAGGATGTCCTAGCATGGTTCATACTGTCTGGGCACTGGGCAGTAACGCAATGGTTGTGCCACCCACCTGTTCAAATACAGTGTTCTGTGTGTCCGGGTGGTGGAGGCTGTATATGGCCAGTGTGGGCCAGACCTGAAGCTCTGTCAGTGGAAACCCATGACTGCCAGAATACAAATAGTACTCCACCAGGGTACTTTCAACTTACGGGCTGAGCAGTCACCTTAGACCGTACACACAGCCAGAGGCCACCCTTCGTCTGTCTGCTTCCACCTCCTGTATGGCCGGTCCAATGGCTGCTTGCTCTTCCTCTCCCTCTTCCTATTTTGCCAGATGTTAGGCATCTGAAAATACATATTTAATTAAAAATTACATTTAAAGGCACATTTCATATTTGGAATAAAGTTGAAAAGAGTCACATTTCTGCGTTTACTATGCATAGACACATGCATTGTGTATTTGCCACAGGCATAAACATGAATATATTTACTTGAGACCAAAACAGCATTAACATTTCTATATCCACCTTTTCTTTCAACATCTTGATGTATGATACTTGTAAAGGAAATAAGCTGTCTTTGTCATGCGCACACCTTACCTACCTTACTTCCTGTATTTTCTGTTCTCCTTATATTCTTCTCTGGCTTTTCTTTCTCCTCGATT